AGCCACAGCTGGCCGTGTCCGACCACGACCGGCTACCATCAGCCACGACTGGCCATGTCCGACCACGACTGGCTACCATGAGCCACAGCTGGCCGTGTCCGACCACGACCGGCTACTATCAGCCACAGCTGGCCATGACTGGCCGGTCATTACCAAGATTAGACTTCTCTGAGCGGTTCTATCTTTCTCCCGTTTTTGGTCCAACAGGATTAGGGTTAGGCAGGGCAGCGGGGGGTCAGAGCAGCTACCTGCTGGTTGGTGTCTGCACTGGAGGTAGAACCATGAAACTGTCCTTCTAGGGCTAAGCTAAAGCTGCTTCCCCAGCTTATCCTTTCAACATTATTTCCTCCATCTTTTGAGAAAGAAAAAGTCGTCTTCACTAAAACTGTTCAGTTCATCTCCTATAATTTGACACCTGATAATATGAACCATCCTAATGAGAGAGCAGCGTAGCAATGGAGGGGTTTGATGCTGCAGGTGATCGGATCCCTGAACCCTGATGCCAAGCAGGTAAACTGGAGCTTCGCTCTGATTGGATGCTGCTTTCTAAACCTGATGGTGAGCAGATGACCCCAACCTTTGGACCAACAGGTTTAAAGCGGGCCCTACAGAACCCTTGCTGACCGGATGGTACCGGTCCACAGCCCTTCAGCTCTCAGAAGCAGCTGACTCTGAGTCACCAGCCAATCAGAGACTCTCGTGCAGGTGTTCAGAAGTGCCGCCCCATCATCACAGCATGGTACAGTAATTAGCTGCATCACCACGGCAACAACACATCCATCTCATTACTGAAGGAGCTAACGAGAGAGAGAGGTGGAGGAGAGGATGGAGAGAGGGAAGGAACGGGCAGGAGCGAAACAGGAAGTGGAGGAAAACAGATGGAGGGAGGAGCGCTTCCTGCTTCTGGGCGCCAACAGGAAGCATGAGACTGTTTTCCGTGACGATAAGACTGTGGAATGTGCACACGCTGCACAGGAGCGTTTGAAGCTGGAAACGCTTCCCAGAAAACCCTTCCAGCTGGCCCACCAATCACTGTCATCACAGGGTTTCCTGTTTGCTCTGCAGCTGCCTTCCACCTTCATTATAGGACACGATGGGACATTATGGGACATGATGGGACATGATGGGACATTAGTCCCACACATGGACAGGAGCCGCTCTCTGGGTTGTGGAACGGAACAGAACCTCTAAACCCAGATTTGACCTGAATGTCTGCAGCCAGACCAGGACTCAGCGTGGAGGTAGAAGGACTCAGTGTCCCCGGAAAGCTGGAAATGTTCTCCTGACATCAGAACACTTTCAGACTCTGATCTCCGTCTTTAAATGCAGCGTTTCTGAGCTTTGCCCTGATTTCTGTCTGCCAGGTTGTGTTTGAGGCGGTCAGCACCGGTCAGAGGGGAGTCCTGGCCATCAGAGACATCACTCTGCAGGGACATCAGTGCAGTAAGAGCTCTCACACACACACACACACACACACACACACACACACACACACACACACACACACACACAGAAAGCCCCACCCATTCAAGAGTAGGCCTCTAATTGGTTAACGAGGTTTGTCTGCTTAATTAGATAACAATTTTTAAAGTTGAGCTAGCATCTTAGAAACAAGGTCAAGCTGTGTGTGTGTGTGTGTGGGGGGGGGGGTAAGTGTGCAGGCTGGGGAGCTCATTAAGTATAAATTGATTAGCATGGACTTTGATCCATGCTTCTGTTTCTGTAGCTGCTGCTCGTCCAAAGAGCTACTGGGGGGCTGCCTCACAAACACACATCTATGTGTTGTAGTTCTTGCTTCCTGCTCCTTCAGACCAGCTGTGGAGGCTGTTTGTGACCCTTTGACCTCTGCCCCCTGTCCTCAGTGAGCACGCCACATCCTCTGCACATCAAAGCCGTGGAGGTGAACGCGGGTCAGACGGCCACCTTTCAGTGCACGGTGAACGGGCAGCCGCAGGGGAACCCGCTGCTCTACCTGCAGGTGGCCACGCCCCCTCTGTTGCCAGGTAACAGCCCCGTTGGGTCGGTTTGTTCTGATCGTCTCTGGATCTCCCCGCAGGGCATGGGAGGTCGGCTGGCCGTCGCTAAGGAAACCAAAGTGGTGAACTCCCGCCGCTATGTGGCGGTCTTCGATGTCATGAACACCACCAAAGGGGATACTGGACGCTACCGCTGCATCGCCCAATCCGAGCGCGGAGTGGGCGTGTCCTCCTACGCAGAACTGACGGTTAAACGTGAGTACTGGCCTCTGATTGGCTGCAGGACCTTCTGACCTGTGTGGATGAATGTTATGAAGCATGGAGGAGCTCCTCCCCCTCTAACTGGTTCAGACTGTGAGGGCCATAGGGGCCACACTCTATGGGCCCCAGGGCCACACCCTGATCAGCTGACTGGCTGCTCTCTGAACGGCTGCTCTCTGAACGGCTGATCTCTGACCGGCTGCTCTGTGACCGGCTGCTCTCTGAACGGCTGATCTTTGAACGGCTGATCTCTGACCGGCTGATCTTTGCACAGCTCATCTCTGACCGGCTGATCTTTGCACAGCTCATCTCT